GTAAGGTTAACTTATCGTGCTTTCAAGTCAAGATATTTTTGAAAAAAAAGAGTAGAAAAGGGAGTTAACATATACATGTATGCTACTCAAGAAAGTATGTAGATAATTTTATAGTTATGTGGATCAATTTTTATAATTATAATGATAGAACATGAGAATGTAAAGTTAATTTGTAATTTTCAAGATACCGTTTAATTCATAGAAAATTTGATTATTAATATGTAACTTTGCAAATCTTCATATTTTGATTTTTATTATTATTATTGGTAGAAGTTTTCAAGTTTTGAGATTTTTAGAGATCACTATCATGATTTGTTTCCGAATTCAAAATGTGAAAGTATTTGGTTATGATAAAAATAATTTAGTAAAACTATTTGTCTCTCTCAATCTACTTACTTTACCAACATATAGCTTATCTAGAAGAAAAGTGATAATGACACTTTTTTTTGCCAAGAATCATATTTATCTTTTTTTTCTCATTTTCTTGATAATTTTTTTTGTTTATATATTTTTTATTATTGTACAAAAATAAATATGTAAATTACTACTCCTTTATTTATTCATATTCTTTAATATAAAATTTTAATTGCCTTTTATTTTTCTTACTTTCATGACATTTGATGATTATATAACTTCTAAATTATATTAATATAGTCATGTTCATAAAATTATTTGATATTTAATTATCTTTATTTCCCTACTTTCATAATTTGTAATGATCACAAATCCTAAATTATGTTAAAAGTCATGTTCATGATATCATTTAATATTTCGTATTGTTATCTTATAATTAGAGGCAGTATAAAATTTTAATATAAAAATAATAAAACTTATATGTATACTAAAATTAGAGATCATATATATATATATATAAAGAACTAAAACTAATTTATTTTTAACTCTCTTATTGACTAAGAAAGCATTTAAATTTTGTCATTTAGTTCTCTTAATAACAAATTTGTGTTTAAAGTGTTAAAGAAAAGTCATATATATAATTAATCTTCTTTGTGTGAATTGCATATAAACATTTCTATTATTATTACGTAATAATTAAAAATGACCAACTCCAAAATTGTATCATATAAACAATTAAAAGAATATAGTTGATACCTCAATCAAAAGTTCAGGATGATGTGATCCAAGTCAATGACGAGGCAAAGCAGTTCCTTGACTTTGAATGAAAAATATGAAAGAAGAAAAAAAGAAAAAGAGAAATCTAATATTATATGTTATTGCACTTTCCATCCAAACAAACTATATACATATATTTTATTCAAAGTGTAAGCATATAATTTAATTTATTAGAAATGATGAACATTTATTTTCTAATCGGTTACACTATGTTTGGATCATTGTTACCCATTGTATTGTTAAATTTCGTTGTTACTTAACAATGAAAACTCCCATTTTTGGAACAATCGATTTGGTGTGTTCCCATTGTTACTTAATTTTTTTTTCTAATTATATCCTTACATAATATTTCATAATACTATTTTACCCTTTACCTTATATTATTTAATTCTAGTCAAACCTCCTGCCCTAGAATAATTAAGGATATTTTAGTAAATTTAAAAATTACAATACAGTACGATACAGTCAAACCAAACAATAAAAATGTTATTAAACAACAACAAACAATACAGTCTAGCCAAACATTGTATCTACCATACAATACAGTACAATAGAATACAATACAATACAATACATTATGAAATAATGATCCAAACAAAGTGTTAAGGAAGAGAGTGGATGTTTCACTTTTCAGGTTTTTATTGAAATAATAAAGCAAGACTAATGTGGAATTAATATATAGTACACAAATTAATAAATAAAAAAGGGAAAAGTTAAACACAATAACGATAAAAGCCAAAAAACAGGAGAGATGTATAAAATCATCTTCTTAATTCATACCTCTTCAATTACATAAATTTAAATCTTAATTAATTTAGTAATGTCTATAAATCCTAACCTTTCATATGCATAACCTTCAAATATTTAATATACAAATTTATAACTCATTAAAATGACACTTATAAAAATCTATTTTGAGAGATGTATAATAATTACCATAATAATATTGTAATAATAAGAACAATTGTATTAGTGTTGTAAAAAACTATTCAACTCTTGGTACTTTTTCTACATCTTTGTCGTTGCATACACGTATTCTTTTTTTAAAAATATTTCTTCTCACTACTGATAATCTCTATACAATAAATTATATGATTACTTTTATTTTATTTTTATTGTAAAAGTAAAACCTCAATGACAATGTTTCACTATAGCAACTTAATTCTCTCTTCTCGCAATGCATACTATAAGAATGAAAGTTTAAATATATATTTTTAATATTAATGGATCTTATGTGACACAAATGTGCAGTAAATGAATGCCAGTACGAGCATCAATCATCGAAAAAAATTCTCTAACTTTTTGAATCTCGGGCATAAATATGTTCGAATGTAATTCAAGTATTTTTTTTTTCTACCATGATTTAGCACAAATATATTTTGATTTGTTTATTTTTTATTATAGAGTCATTTATACAAAAAAAAAAGGTCGTGTAATTTATGATCAAGTAAATTTAGTATTGTTGGTTGAACCAATAATATTACTATAAGAATCATTGAATTTAGTATGAAACTATGATAATTAGATTGTTACTTAACTGAAGCTTTTCATATCAATTTTTATGTTTTCATTTTTTTATCAACAATTTTAAATTGAAAATGCAGCATGAGATTTTTTAACAATTTTTCTGAATAGATAATATTAAAATTGTAACTTAATTTGTATTTATATCTTTTATTATATCATTTATTAATTATTTTAAAATATATTTAATATCTTTTTATATCCACACAAAGCGCGGACAAGTACACTAGTTAAAATATAAATGCAAAAAGAAATATATATGAAAATTGATACACTATTGACCATTATATATATATATATATATATATATATATACTATACTATACTATATATTGTCGTTTGGAATATGTACAAACCCACTTAAAAGAGAAAATAAATCACCTATTTAATGATTATCTAAAGTATTAACTACACCAAAAGAAACTTTTAGTGGCAATTAATTTTCTCTTTAGCGACAATATTTATTGCCATAAAAACATTTACTGGCATTTAATCTATTGTCATTGCATCCAATGTCGCTAAAGGCTTTAGTGACATTTATTTTGAGTGCCAGTAAAGATCAATATTATTGCCGCTAAACGTTAATACTTTTGGCGGCATTTATTTAGCGGCTGTTACTATTGCCGGTAAAATCACTTTAAAAATATGCTATCAAACATATTGTGTGGCTTGTGTCAATGCCGATAAAGATGCAATGGATGACATATTTAACCACACGTTCATAGCATAAAAAATAAAAATCACGAGAGAAATATATTCTTTTTTTGGTAACTCATTTTTTTTATTAATCACCCAAGAAAAAACATTACAAAACTGTAGCGCAGTAATAACTCTACTGGCTAGCCTGTGACAAGAAACTTAAAGAAAACACAACTAACAAATTGCTAAGAAAACATATTAAAAGATGTACTTTTGCACTAATCCTCTACGACGTTCTGATTATCTCCACCAACCAAACAGTCGAAACAAATATATTCTTCTGAGTCTTCTATTGTATGCCATGAAGGCTCTTGCTTTGTAGGGTCCTCATTCAAAAACTCGAAGGCGTACATTCGCTTTGATTCTTCCAGACCTTCAACTTCCATCACAGCTTACAGAAGAGCAGGGGTGTCAATGGTGTACTTGATTTACTCGATTGTGTCAGCTAGGTGTCAGACAGGGGCGAATTTATGTACTAATTTTGGGTCACCCGAACCCGTGGTCATCCGACTAAACTCGATATATTACTTCTATAATTATTAAAGAATATATTAAATTAAAACTTATTGAACCCGTTCTCAAAATGGCTGGATGGTTCACTGGTACCACTGCAAGATTTCAACTCACAGGTCGCAGGTTCAATCCCAGGCAGCCCCAATTCGCTTCAATTTATTTTTATTAACTAAAAACACATTTTTTCATTAAAAAAAAAAAAGAAGCTAAATTCTGAAAGTTTAAAAGTCAAAAGACTTCAAAAGTTTCATACCCACACACTTTTCAAGTTCTAAGTTCCAACAATATTTTTCTTCCCTCTTCAAATTTGTTTTCTAATTTCCACACAAAGAAGAAGCTTCAAGTCTCCAACTTCAAGTCAAGAATTTAGAGAAATCATCATTGTCAAAGTTTAAGGTAATTTTAGTTTATGATTTCTCTTTTTAATAAACAAACTAACAAGATAAATAAATAAATATATATATAT